TTTGTGTGTGTGTGTGTGTGTGTGTGTGTGTGTGTGTGTGTGTGTGTGTGTGTGTTTTAGCTCCTCTCCTGTGTTTATAATTCGGTGAACCGTCGTGACTTCTCCGTCTAGCAGTAGTAGAAGATGCTCTTGCAATCTTCCCTCCTATTCAGAATCTACTTTAAGTTCTCTTCCCTTTTTCCTTTGTCGTCGTAACTGAAGCTCCCCAGTCGATTCCTTCCTGGCCATTCTATTCTTTTTTTTAACTCCAACCCCTGCTCTTCGGTCTCCTCCGCGTTCCCTCCTATCTCCCTTCTCCTCGTAGCCCCTCGAATTCTTGGTCGTTGAAGTATAGGTACTACATGTAGAAAGATTGAGGGAGCGATTAGCAATCGTCATGTCGATGAGAGAAAAGTGATCCCTCCCTTTTCATCTTCATCTTCCTCCGATTTCTCCTCCTGCTCCCGTTCGTCGGGCCCCTCTCTCAAGATTGTGAGTCGCCAGCCGTCGACAATTATCCCGTTTCCTCAGGCAGTTCCCTTTGGCAATCTGGTATCAGGGCATACTTGAATCTGGACTCTTTTCTACTAAGCGCGGGACGTCATCGCGGTCAGATTCATCCAGATCTGGCCGCAATTGCAGTCAGGTACGTGGTGGAAGGTACTACTGTAGTACTGTGAGTATGCCCTCACACAGGATATCTCAGTCTGCCGTGACAGACAGAAAGTGACCAGAAGAAGGGAGGTCATCCTGCCGGTTTCTTGCTCTTTCCTTCCCTGCCACCTCTTTCTGCTCCCATCCCATCCCCTAGCAGTTCTCTTCTTCATCTTCTTCTCCGGGACCCTTCTTTCTCTCGCACACGCTTAATATCTACCCTTCCTACCCCTACTCGACTCCCACCCCTTCAATCATCAATCGAACGGCTAGCCGAGTTCTTCTATCCATCCATTTCCGCCTAAGCTGGCCGTTCGATCGGTCGTTCCCGACTGAAACAGACATTCCTGATCGACTAATCATGTGATGCACCCAGTCTGCGTACGTGGACTGGTTTGCAAGATCGGCAAGACGACGACAGTCTCTGTGTGTGTGTGTGTGTGTGTGTGTGTGTGTGTGTGTGTGTC